TCATAGTTTCAGATCATTCTTTAACTGATTCCACTTGTTCTTCAATTTCATGTGATCATAATCTATTTCGGTCACTTTCTTGAATTTAATCATAAGATTTTGACACTCTTCTTTGTTAAAATACGTAGTGGGCTTATTTCCTACCTCAACCTCCCTCAGACATGATTCACAAAATATAATAGTTATCTCTCTATCCCACATGACCGATGATCCGGTCTCTTTAGCTTTATTCATTGAGTTATGTTAGATTAACAGATAAACGCAGACTATTTCTTTTCATAGCAAGGAATGTCCCAACTAAGGGATAATTAATTTATTTGTTACACATATTTATAAAAAATCGAGTTTTGGATAATCAGTCAATAAGTGCTAACCAAACAAGACGGTGGCGTTTTCAAAATGCTGCCCGCACTTTTAAGCTGCCCCAAACGGGCCCTAAGTGTGACTGAGATTAGAATAATTATTTGAATGAGTGGTTTGACACTTAGAGACAAAATGTGAAAGGAACATATTTGTGATAGGGTTGGTGCAGCTCTAGTGGTGGACAAGATTAGAGAGAGCCGTCTTAGATGTTTTGGTCATATTAAATGTCCACCATATGATGATCTTGCTAGGAGAGTAGATGTTTTAGATTCGACTTATGTTAAGAAAGGTAGAGTTAGATCTAAAATGACTTGGGCATTTTGTATAAAAAATCATCTTAATTTATTAGAATTAATTGAAAATATGACACTCAATAGGATGCAATGGAGAAAAAGGATTCATGTAGCCGACCCCATTTAGTGAGATAAAGGCTTGTTGTTAATGTTGTTGTTGGTTTCTTTCTTTATGAACAAGAATTATACTCTCACTAGTCTTTTATGTTGATTAAAAGCAATTGGATAAGCAAGCATGAGCCCTCCTGAAAAACAAATATTATAAAAGGATCTAGCCCATTTGCAATGCGTTGTCTTAAAAATGTAATTTGTTCAGGGAAATATCCTCTATAGAACTTCATTCCGGAGATATTTGTGAAATAAGAGTATTTTTCACGGAAGTATTAAAAATGTTATTTATTGGCTCGTTATTTTGAGGAAGTTTGTAATTGGTGACGTCTACTTTATGTTGATCCCATCTTTCTTCATAAACGAATCAAATCACGTGATGCTTCCACTGGATGGAATAGATCTGATAGAAGTATTCTATTATGTTTTTACAATTGTGATCAACTGTTTGTCCTATGAGGAATGAAGGAGAAAGTCATAAAAAAGTAAAATAGTTGCTATTGGCGTTATTATTTTACGGTAAACTTAAAGTATATTCTACCTAAATTTATTATGATTGCAAGTTATAAGGCTTGCAAAAGTTACTAAGAGAAGAAAAAGCAATTCTTTTTGGCAACAATATGCTCAATAATGAGTACATGAGAATTATAAAATAGTGGTGGAAAGAAATAGGAAAATCCTATTTTAATTGGAAGCACTCTTTATGAATGAAAGAAATGAACATGTAAAGTACTTACAAAAAGACTAAGCATCATAACATGGCATTAAGATTTATTTAATTCAGCTAAAATGATGCCTACGTTACAATGGAGGTGAGAGGAAATGATTCACTATTAAGGAGCTACCTAGGCGTACTTATGAAAGGCACACATGAAAGACTTCCCTAAACCCTACAGCTACAATCAAGCAAAGGTGATAACTACACACGTGATAAAGATTATAAGCACAAAATATACAAATAGTACCTACTTGAGTGCTCAAAATAGCACAATCATACTTCCCACGGCATTGCTGCACTTGACTACTATTGTGATCTGTTGGCACCGTGCTTGTATCATTGCAAGACAATACACCGTTGTAACAAATGAATGAGCCAAACTTTTTTTTTTCTGGTTTCTTCTCTCACTCCCTTTCTTTTTATCTCTATGTTATTATTCCTTTTTTTTTTCCAATCACATAATGAACAGTTTTTTTTTCTCTTGATCTTTCTCTTACTCAAAAACAGCCTCTGAAACTCCATAATCGAAGAAAAACTCAGCCCATATACCCATGCTCATTGGACTGTCCATGACACAATAAACCCACATGCAAGCATTATATTCTTATTTATGTAATATTAGGGTTTCAAGGAGGTCTGTTTTCGATCTAATCCAAGCAGCGGTAGAGCTGCGGCGTGCTGGGGTGCCGTGTGTTTAGGATGTTTGTGGTGGGGGGTCAGATGCGGTGGCCCGCGAATCTCCCTAAACGCGGGCCACGGGTTCGACCCACGGCCCTGCTTCGCTCCTTCGGCATTTTACCCAGGTGTCCTCCCTATTCGCGATTCCTCCCTAACTCTTCTTCGTCGTTCGACTGCGATCCCGATTCCACCCTCACTCATCTTCTTTGTCGTTCGGATGTGATCCCTCCCGGGTTCGTATGCGATCCCGTCATTGCCTTCTGAGCTTGCTCTAATCGCGATTGTGTATTGCGAGGGTTCATTCACGAAGGCCATGACTTTGGGCACGTGGGAGAGGGTAAGGGGGAGAAGGGTTTATGGTTTTAATTTATTTTTATTTAAGTTTTAATTTTATTGATTTAATTGGTTAATAATCAATGATTAATTCATATATTTTTAAATTAATCATGATTAAATAAATTTATATATTATTATTTAATGATTAATTAATTAATTTATAAACACTTTTTTAAGTTTTAAATTATTTGATAAAAATATAAGTTTTCTAAATTAATAAAATTAATTAATTTTTAATTAATGTTAATTTATTGCTTAAGAAATAGTTTATTTAATAAAAATTTTATTTTATATTCTATTACATAGACCAATACTACACGGGGACATGATGGTATTTTTTTCCAAAAATAGCTGTCTCACAGTTATTTTCACACAGCTGCAACAAATAAACAGCTAGTTTCCCGGCAACAGTTTCCTGGGGCAGCGCAGCTGCAGCTGAAATACCGAAAAGCTGCAACTGTCCCAAACAAACCCGAATTCTTAAATCTTTACTTATACGAGGATACGAAATAATTTATATTTGTCCCAAAACTATCAATTTAAAATTTGGTGCTTATTTTAGCAATATTATTGAGGTAGCATCCTTACTGAGAAAATAGACTAAGATTAGGTGCGTTAGTAGTGGTAATAAGATGTCTTTTTAGAATAACATAATAACTAGAATAATAAGGTATGCTATAGGTTGAAAATAAAATTTAGTATACTTTGGAAGACTAATAGCATAGTAATTGCTTGGAGAAAAATATTTTAGTCAGAATATTCAAGGAAACGTGATGTTTGATGTTCTGGAAAATCCTAAGATTTTGTTTATATTTTCATGTAGCCATCATTGAGATAATGAAATATGAATTTGTGGAATCCAATGTTTTATTTTTATTAACTTCCCTTGTTGTGATTCACATGTTTAACATGACCGCCATTATGGAAGACTAGCCCGTCATCATCTTGTATTTCACCTATTTGTTTAGAGCAAAACAGACAGAGGTAGGGTTTCCTCCAACCATGATTTATACTTCAATACACACTCAATAGTAGATTCCCTAGAATGTTCATGTGACGTGATTTGTAGTTGGCAAACTTCTTTTGCATTGGGTGGCAAATATGGTAACTTAAATTATAATTGATCTTTGATGCAATCATCATTTGTTAAGCAGTAGCTTTTTGGCCTCAATAAGCATTGTGCTAACAGCACTAGTTGATGGAAGGCAGGCATATAATTCAAGGTGAGGTTCGATCAGTTTTGTTGTAATGTTAGAGTCGACTCCATAGGATTTGACTTTATTTGGCAATCCATTCAAAGATTTATTATTTAAGATACCCTGCTATCATTCAATTTTGTTATGCCTTAAAAAAATGAGGGATTGATGACTAACCTATGTAGAATTTGGGTGAAATTAGTGGTAAAACTCTCCAAAGATTTCAACTTAAAGTATTTGTTTTGTTGTCTTGCGGTGGTTGCAAGCGAATTGAGGCAGTAAACACCTGCATTAGAGAATGAGTATTTATAAAGTTGAACTTAAATGGCTGGGATCAGACTAATGATGATGACAATTTTGTTACCCAAAAGAGTTGCATCTTTTTTTATTATTTTTTTTTGTTGGTTTAATCTTTGTTATTAATCTTTGTTAGAACTCACTCGGAGAATTCTAGTGAGTTTTGATTTCTAAATACCTACTATTTAAATTTACCTTATTTAGCATTCACTTAAATAATGTGTTAATTTTTCAGATTAAATAGAACAGCTATCTAATTAAAATTTGATTCTCACCACATTTTTAAATTAGTGTATCTTCCAAAAATTATGTTGGGTTTATGGAGAATTTAATTGATTATTCTCCACACAAATATGAAAGTATCTTCCAAAACTTGGGATTCATTAAAAAAACATTTAATATTTTTATATTTTCCTTTTCGTTTTGTATTATCGGTAGATCTTAAATACCTTCCATTTGGTTTGTGTTCTTGAGTATATGAGTAACATTGGCATATTTCAGGTTTGAAAGGTGGTTATGCTTATTACTGAAAGTGGAATTGTAATTTTTGTTTGGCTTTGAATTTTGCAATGCCATGATTAGTTTTACTAGTAATTCTTTCTGACAGATACCTGGCCAGTGGCCACTTTTTCCTGTGTTTTTAGTTGTGATTTTTAGTGTGAGTAACAAATTCCTGTTGTCCACACTTCGCCACCAACCAAAAATACTAGTAACAGATAGAAGGTATGAATTAATGAGGGCAGTGCTCTTGTTGGCTAGTGTACAAGAAGAAAAATTAACGGGAATTATGGGCCCCTATTATTTTTTTTCCACTTTGTGAATCATTTCATGGAAATGCCAGTTGCTTATGTATAGATTATGCTTGCATTAGAATATCTTCATAAGCAAGGTTTGTGTGAGCTTGTTGAGTGGAGGAGCAAGAAAACAGATATGTGACATCCAGTTATTGATTTCATTTCTATGTTCAATTTGCTAATGTTCTTAATTGTAATTAGCGTCCTATTGTATCAGGATGTAATTCACTACTTAGAAAGATCTTTTGGAGTTGGCTACACGATGAACCAAATGGATTCTGGTACCAATCCACAACACCAATCATCAAACCAAGGTTCTAAACTCTCCACAGCTAATGTTGCTGCACCTGACGTCTCTAGCTCGGAGACAGGTGCCAGCGGCCATATCATTGAGAACCCCCTCACCGGAACTTTATCAGATGATTCTATCGAGTTTGAAAACTTGTACTCAACATTAGACGGCGGTAACCAAAGCCTTGGCCGACCTGTAACAGATATTTCAAAAATGACTGCTGATCGGATTGTTCCTGGTAATGACCTAAAGCAAAAAATACATCTTCATAAGGTAAGACTACTGCTTCTCACTAGGAACCTTAAGGCCGCTAAACGTGAGGTTAAACTTGCAATGAACGTGGCACGAGGTAGAGATTCCTCGGCGGAATTGCTTTTAAAGTCCCAACTAGAATATGCCCGTGGTAACAATAGGAAAGCTGTAAAGCTTTTGATGACATCCATGAATAAAACAGAACCAGCTATGCTTAGTATGTTTAACAACAATGTTGGATGCATACAATTTCAGCTCAAAGCCCCGCACACATCAGCCTTATTTTTTACAAAAGCTCTGAGATTTAGCTCATCTCTTCGATCAGAAAAACCCCTGGAGCTTTCAACCTTCTCTAAGGACAATTCTTTTGTAATTATTTATAATTGTGGTCTTCAAAACTTGGCATGTGGAAAGCCTGTAACTGCAGCTCAGTGTTTTGGAAAAGCCAGTATGTATTTTTATAACAAGCCAATCTTCTGGCTCCGTTTAGCTGAGTGTTGTCTATCAGCAATGGACAAAGGGATTTTTCGAATATCTGCTCCAGAGATTAAGCTTCATGTTGTAGGATCTGGTAAATGGCGACAGCTGGTGTTGGAAGAAGATGTCAGCTCAAGAACTAGGTATCTCAAAGGAGCAGAATATATGTCTGGCGTAGATGAGCGGTACAAGCTTTCGCTTCCATTCGCTCGATTGTGTCTTCATAGAGCCCTATTTTTGTTGGATAAGTTTGAGAAGAAAGGACCAACACCCAGTGCTGCAAATGATTCTGTCACCAATGGAGATCATAAGGAAAACAAAGTCGGATTGAGCTCAAACACCACCTTGCAGAGTTCTGTAATCGCTTTTGAAGAATTATGCAAGGAAGAGAACAGCATGATCAAGCAGGCCCTTTTAGGAAATCTGGCGTACATCGAGTTGTGCTTAGAAAACCCACTCAAAGCATTATCCGCTGCAAACTCACTTCTCCAACTTCCAGACTGCTCAAAAATTTATACCTTTTTTGGTCGTATGTATGCTGCTGAAGCACTTTGCTTCCTGAACAGACCTAAAGAGGCTGCAGAGTATCTGTCAGTCTACTTCAATGAGAATGGTAAGATGGAGCTGCCTTACACTGATGATGATAGAGAGAAGTGGAATTTAAAGAGAGGTATGGATGGCGAAGATTTGAATGGTTCACAGAATGCTCGAACTGTAGCAGAGTTGGCTCGAGGCGGGCTTCTTAAGTCTGAAGAGGCTCGTGCTGTTGCTTGTGTAAATCTTAGTATAATGTTCTCCCTACAAGGAAATCCTGAGCAGGCCAACCAATTTATTCAGAAAGCTCTCTCATACATGCCCAAAGATCCTAGGGTTTTGATTGCTGGTGTTTTTGTTGATCTTCTGCAAAATAAATCTAGGGATGCTCTCTCCAAGTTGAAGTTGTGTAACAACACCAGGTACGTTTCCGCTTGTTAAATATGGTTTTCATGATTGATCCGAGTAGTCTGGCGAAAGCCTTCTGTACGATAGAATGGTGGAATGTAGGATAAGAATCTTTTGTTTGATCCACCCTTCATTTTTTTTCTTTTTATGAAAATTTAACCTTTTGATGGTAACTCCTTTAGTCCAAGATGTAGTTCATGATGAAGGATATATAGTTGAGTGGCAGTGTAGGTACTTGTTAAAGTTCATTCATTCAAGGAAGTATATGGAAAGCTTTCTGTGATTCTCTCATGGCTGCTGTTGGCTGACTAAATTGATGCGTAAAAGTTTTTATTAATCTCATATTTTATGATTAAAAAGGATGTTGCTTAAAATTTGTGCTCTTTTAACTGGGTTGCTTTTGACGGCAAAGTTTTAATGATTCGTCACAATCAGTTACAAAAGGGGTGTCCTGTATTCTATTTACATGGGACGGGTTTTGAAAATTCAGCAATTTGGTGGAAGAATTTTAAATGAGATGTAAAATTACTTTGTTTGGAATCCATTCCTTTGTGTATTTTTAGTGTCTCTCGAATTCGTTTAAATTTTGGTATTCGATGGATTTGGGCGAATTCCAACTAAACGGTCTTATGCAAACTGTTGTCAGCCGCCCGCCTGCCATCACTCTCCGGCAATGGTGGCCGTCCGCCTTTGATTGTCACAACCATCTGCTTGTTCGTTGCCGTTGTATTTTTACAAAGTTTTCATCTTTTGTTCAAGCGAAATAAAAATATATGAAGTCCTCCATTTTTTTTTTATACTAACCAAACAACTCCAAAACATTTCAATGCAACTACATTATTTTTACAGTGCATAACAGTAAATATTGATGCAGAATTTTAAGAATGATTTTGCCTGAATTCTTGTTTTGAATGGATTTGGGCTCTCCCAACGCATCATCTTTAATATAGATTTGGGTTCTTTTCATTGTAATGCTTTTAATTCTTGGCCAACCAGTAGTGAAATACCAATGTTAGATATGAGTATTTTACATCTACATGCATTATTTTGATGCAATGGATTTGGGCTCTCCCAGCGCATCATCTTTAATATAGTTTGTTAAGCTTTTCACATCATTCAAATCTTCAGCATCACATCACAAATACCAACATCTCAACTTTTTTAAAAAAAGTAGCATGAATATGTGTTTAAAGTGTAAATATCAAACTTTTGGTGTTAGATATGTAAATGCATGAATTGTGTGCTACTTATGTAAATTTCCTTTAAGGACCATTAATGTACCCTTTGCTTCATCCAAAAATCTTAAAAATATATATATATTTAATTAACAAATATATATTGTGCACCTTGCTTAAACTAGTGTAATAGCCTTCGTATTTTAAGATGTTTTTTATTAGCTTTTTTCAATTGAACTGAAGTATGATGTATTTCAAACAAATAAACGGTCGTTAGCTCTAGTTTTTTATTCAAAGATGACTACAAAGTGGCCTAGTCTTTATTCCCTGATTACATTAACTGAAATATAGGGGCATTAACATGCATGCCCACGCCATTTTTATGTACTTTCTAATCTAACATATTAACATTCATATTTATATGCCTGCCAGTCAAATTTTTAACATGAAGTTAAATATATATATATATAT